AAATTAGGGTCCTTTTGGGGTTCCTTCAAGGGATCCATAAGGGTTTCTACAAGGGTACTATGCGGGTTCATTTTGGGTAGTTCTCTAAATTAGGGTTCCTTATAAGGTCCTTCCTTTTTTTACTAGTCCGGGGACCGAAAAAGACACGCTAATTTGGAGAACTACACATTTGGGGTTTGACCGGGTTTAAGGCTTGAGGTCTAGGGTCAGGTTGATGGTTTAGGGTTTGGGTTTGAGGTCTTCAAGGTTCACGGATGAGGGCTTGGGGCTTGGGGCTTGGGGTTTAGGGTCTGGGGCTTTAGGGTTTTAGGGTGTTTTGGATTGTAGAGCTCTTGCCGCAGTGCTATAGGTTTTGCTTCGTGGGCTGATAGAGCGTTTGAGGTTTAGTGTTTTAAATTGGGCCTAGGGACGAGCCCTAAACTCTAAACCCTAAACCCTAAACCGAACATGTTCTGAAGATAGCACAGGATGGCGAAAGGTGGGAAGACCTCAAAGTTTCCGAAGCACAATGTAGGGGTCTTAATAATTAGAATACGGTTGCGGGGCCCAGTATACTATGATCATAGTAAGGAACCCCCAAAACCATATTCTAATTATTACGACCGTTATATTACCTTCGGGTTCGGGGCTTGAAGAGTTGATCTGGGCTCACGGGGACCCTGAACCAGACGCCTCCGTGATCCTCAAGGCCTGTACCCCTCAATGTATCTATAGACAGGGTTAAGCGTTCAGGGTTTAGGGTAGGGGTTTGGACTGGGCGCGCCCTAAAACCGCTCAAGGCCCATTCCCGAGCTACGGGGGTTTCTGGAATGTCTCGGCCTGTGAAACCCGGGCCAAGCTGTCGCAGCAGCCAAAGGGGTTCAGGTTTAGGGTTTAGGCCAAAGGGGTCCAGGGTTTAGGTGCTGATGTGCAGGCAAAGCAGCATCTCCGGAAGCCATGGGCACAGCAAGCGTCGTTCCGAATTTTTCACAGCAGGACAAATGCTTCATGCTCTGCATGACATGTCGTTGGTTCGCCCTCCAAGGGCGCTCTCATGCTCAGCATGATGTAATGTGATGTGATGCCCGTCAAGGGCCTGTGCGCACATCCGGCTAATTATTGGTGTTAGCCTGAGGCCTATACAAGCTTGCAAAGCATGCCGATGTGCTGTAAACCGCGAGCGACATGAAACTCACAGCCTGAGAAGAGGTTTCATCACTCCTCCTTGACTGTCCAATATGAAATGGGACTAGCCACCACTCCCCGTCGCTCGCTCTGGATACTTGTTTCGTCCAAAGTTATCCCGACATAGGGTGCAGTATGTCAAGCGCCGTGATCGCCGCACATTACGCAGACCCCAGCAGTGGTCCAAAGTATGGAAATGATCCCCACTCTCTGACACCCACAAAGGACGGGTCCAACCATCGGGCTCGGCAATCGGCACCGGCACTTCTCGGTCTACATACTGAATCAACGGCCTCGGCGATGGTATCAACCATGCATCCGTCTGACATCCCTTATCCTTCTGGCAGCTCTGGTAGATCGTCTTTCCCCGCTGCCTCGCAGTAGACGTCGACGAGCTCAATGACGTAGGTAACGGAGGCATAGGAGTGGGCCTTGTCATAGATTCCGAAGATACCCCAAAGGTAGAAGACGAAGTCGCCGCTGGAATAGGAGAAGAAGTCACCGGAGGAGTAGGAGACGAACTCACCGGAGGGGTAGGAGAAGAAGTCACCGAAGAGACCCCCTGTGATGTAGCAGTCGCTCCCAGCTGACTTGCGATCTCCTGCTGAACGGCCTCTTGCATCCTCTTCAGTCTCCTCGCCTTACGCATATCCGCCGGCGATTCCTGACCAGTAACACGGTACCAAACTCCCCATAGACATTCCCAACCTGCGACAACCGCAACCGCCACCAAAGCAACCAAGAAGTATAGTTCCCACGAAGGTTCAATCGCTAACGGTTCTTTCTGATACATTGTAGATGCCCTCGAGGTCTGCACCATCATAGTCATCATGACCATAATCTTCACAAGACTCAGTTTTGAGGCAACCACAACCATATCAACCAATCTCCACAACGAGTTGAGTTCCTCAAGCCTCTGGCGAGGGACGCCTTTGATGAGGAGATCAGCTAATTGGTACCTGCCCGGTACGAACGGTAGTTGTACGTCCCCCTGATCGACTTTCTCAGGCAGAAAAGCCGATCGTATACGCAAGTGTCGAGTCCTCCAACTCGCCGAAGAGCCCGGGGTGGCCAATGTGAGCGCGGCCTGGTTGTCGACAAAGTGTCATATTGGGAATCGACTCCCCAAACTCATCAACGATCGACTTCAGGCTCATAGCTAGGGTGAGGGTTTCTATTGCGGTAACCAATTCTCCTTCTGCTGTCGACAAGCATGTGAATGGCTGCCGGCCAGACCTCCATCCTATTACAGCTTTATTCCATGTAATAGCCATGCCACTGTGGGATCGACACCCACTTGGAGCAAAGCTGCAATCGCTCCATGCCTCGAAGCCACCGTCGACGGGCTTCAACTCCAGGGCAACTGACATTGTACGCTGCAAATAGGAGAGTAGACGTCTCCCGATCTCAATGCTCCTCGGTGCCGCCTTGGTAGGCAAACTCCCCATGATGGACACCGGGAAAGCAATGTCTGGCCTACTCCTCTGGCTGAGCCAGAGGAGTTCACCACATAGTCGCTGAGCTCGGCGTAGGTCACCTTCAACTCCTTTAGGTTCATTTTCCTCAACGGCCAAGGTGAGTAGCTCTCGCCCGCACGGTATTGGCGATTTGAGGGTTTCTGGTACCTGGTGCTGCCGAATAAGTTCTTGTACATAAGGTCTTTGATGAATCCAGTAGGTGTCCTTGGCCTCATTAACCTCGATCTCACAACCAAGGAATCTGATCCCATGCTCCGGCTCAACAATATCCAAATTGGACGTCTTCCAAGTACCACTAATTTTTGCAGCGATAGCTTGGACCAGAGTTCGGGGGCCACACACCAACAAATCATCAACGTATATCAGCAGCACCGCACTTGGCCTTGTAACCGAAGGGTTGTTGGTCTCATAGAGGTACCATAAGTTTGGCTCTGCTACACCTTGCCGAAATTGCCACAAGGTCCCATCCATCTCAACCGTCATAGCTTTCACAGTTTGATCACGGAAATCCACCATAAACTCGACGAATCACTCAAATCCTCCATGATAGGGGTGATATGCGTCACCCAATTGATCAGGTCGATGCTGCCCGTTTCCGGCGTGTAAGGAGGTAGGTGAGGAAGTTCACTGATCCCTGGTTTCACAGTTTCCGGACGATCCGATTTGCTCCCCTGATTTAGCAACAGCGACTCAATCCCTTTTGCCATAGCAGTAAGCACTTGCTCGCTCCCAGCCAGATTGGTTGACGCTACGCCCGGATGCGGTGGCGGTGGCGGTGGTATTCCTGTAGGTGGGGGGCCTGAGGACATAGGAGTAACTCCTGGTTACTGCCACCTGCACCCATCGCACCACAATACCCAAGTAACCCCTGCAAGAACTTCCGACCTCTGCCCGCTTCATGCTGAGGAGGTGCTCGTAGAGAATCGCCATCTCGTTGCGCTCCTGGCGGGGGCCCCGGCCTCAAAGAAGGTGGCTTAGCAAGGGATGTAGGGGGCATAGACATGGGCCTAGACATACTCAACGATGCCGGCATAGTAGATCTTGCTTCTAGCCCGGGAGGTTCAGTAACATAGTTATACCCACCATGAATGTTGGGAGGACATAGAAGATCCTGCACTGTGGGTGCCGCTGAGGTCCTCTGCACAACACCCGTGGCCTGAGGCACATCAGTCCCCAAAGAGCCTACACGGCTCTCCAAGGCTAGCTCTTGGGCTTGCGCCTCCATCTGCTCCAATTGCAGACGAAGAATCCTGGCCTGTTGTTCAGCCTCATCGGTCTTCAGCCTTTCCGCATCGAACCGGGCCATCATCGTTCCATACATCTCACCCAAAGCCCCTTCAAGTTGCTTCGAAACCTCTGCTTGCACCAGTTCGTAAGGTACAGTAGCCGAACCCGTAGATGGCGGCGTCCTCGTAGTATCCCGTACCATTTCCCCAGTAGTTACAAAGGGCTGCTGATCAAACCAAGGGTTCTCAGCTCTATGAACCGGGCTCTGGTGTTGTGACCAAGACGTGTGGACTTCCACACGTCGCTGCTGAAACAAATCTCCCAGCCTAGACATCCATGAAGCCGCCCTCGTAGACATCGCCTCTAAACCCAAGCGCTGTTCAGACCCAGGTGAAGCTCCAGGCAACGGTGACGGAGGAAATAATGTTTGCCCAGGCTGCCGTAAGCCGCTCGTGGATGCCTGCCCAGTGGCGGCGCTCACTCCAACATGAGCTTCATAGCCACTTGGCCCAGCCTTAACAGCTGGCTCTTGCGCAGGAAGGCCATTTCCCATCTGCTCTCTTCCACCAACACCAGGTAAAAGTGGTGGGTCTACTTGGCCTCCAGCAGTGCCAACCTGTTCCACGACGCTCGTTGCTCCACCCTGCGAGGCCATTGCCGTGTTCATCGCAGAAGAGTGTACCGCAGGTGGGCAACCATTGAGCTGTGCTGTTTCCAGAGGTGCCGCCGCCTGCCCGGGCGGGACTGGCATTGTGCCATAGTCAGGACCTTCGCTTTACCCAGGAAGCCTCGGTCCTTCAACGGATTGGGCGCTCATAACCTGCTGATGTGCAGGCAAAGCAGCATCTCCGGAAGCCATGGGCACAGCAAACGTCGTTCCGAATTTTTCACAGCAGGACAAATGCTTCATGCTCTGCATGACATGTCGTTGGTTCGCCCTCCAAGGGTGCTCTCATGCTCAGCATGATTTAATGTGATGTGATGCCCGTCAAGGGCCTGTGCGCACATCCGGCTAGTTATTGGTGTTAGCCTGAGGCCTATACAAGCTTGCAAAGCATGCCGATGTGCTGTGCTGTAAACCGCGAGCGACATGAAACTCACAGCCTGAGAAGAGGTTTCATCATTAGGGGTTTAGGGTTTAGGGTTCTTGCCAAGAGGCTTCTCTGTGAGGAGCACCTGTGCCACCAACTCGTCCACGTCCAAGACAAAAGCGAGTGCCAAACAGTTCAGGACGATGTCCTGAAGAAGGTTTCAGAGCGACAACACGAGAGCCTCAGCACATAGCCCAACCGGCCACAGAAAACCTATCCTATCATCACGCAAGCTAAGGCTGCTCCCCACCACCACCACTACCACCAAGATGTCGATGATGACAGACCATGACCATCACGACCAGTGTTTACTGATGACTGCACTTGTTGTACACTGTCCTAGATTTTCAACGACATGTTACTAGTAAACCTATTCCCGCCACCATCACCACAACCATAACCACCACCACGACCACTAGCACCACCACTACCACTACC